TTCCCTTGCCGCCGTCAGCCGCAGCAGTGACCCCAGCCGCAGCACCCACAGCAGCAGCAGCAGCAGCCCCAGCATCCAGAGCAACCGCAGTGGGAACAGCAGCAGCAGCAGCAGCCGGAGCAGCAGTAGTCGCGCTGCTGCTCCATGCGGCCACCATCCCGCTCCCTGCTCCTCCGTCGCTGCCACCGCTGCCTGCCCGCCTCGCCGCTGCAACCGGTACGGCATCGTATGACGGGGCAGCGTTCGTACTCTTCGGGGCTTCTGTTGTCGTACGGTGCTGCTGCTGCTGCTGCCGTACAGCGGGCGAAGACCACCACCCGACAGCAGGCGAGAGTGGTGGTTGTGATAGTGGCTGTGGCGAAGCAGCAGTAGCAGTTGCAGGCCCTGCTGCTAGCATTTGCACGGCAGGCTGTAGCAACTGCGCTAGTAACAGCAGTACGGGTGAGGCTGTGCCGCTATCGGCTTCTGTAGGTGCTAAAGAGGGAGGGGTTGAAGCGGAGGACGGGGGAGGCGTCACGGCGATGTTTGTTGATGACGCGAGGAAGAGCTTGCGAACACCCTCCTCCTCCTCCGTTGCTGCTGCTCCCGCTGTTGCTGCTACTGCTGCCTCTAGCAGCGGCCTTAGGTCCACATGTGAAGCAGCAGCAGCAGCAGCAACGGTAGCTGAGCCAGCCTGATTGGGGTCACCTCCCCCACCTGCTCCTGCTGTTCCCCTTGCTCCTGCTGCTGCTGCGGAGAAGATGGCGGACAAGGCGGACACCAGCCCCTCAGCGCCACCATCGCCCTCTGCGTCTCCACCACCCGTACCGGCCACGGCCGGACGCCCCGCGCCAAAGGCACTCCCACCCCCCCGCAACAGGTCCCACAGGCCCCTCAGCAGGGGGGCACCACCGGCCCCAACCCCGCTGCCCGGGCCGCCGCCGCCGCTGCCCTGACCGCTGGTGCTGCTCCGTGCCGCCAGCTGGGCCATTGCGGTCGCAGCGGAGGAGGAGGAAGGGGAGGAGGAGGAGGAGGAGGAGGAGGAGGAGGAGGAGGCGGGTGGTTGCTGCTGCTGGTGCTGGATTGGCGGCGGGTGGGGCAGCATGAGGCGGTCACATGGGGCGGTGCGATCCGCTGTGCCCTGGGGGTGGGTGGGGTAGGTGGGTGGGGCGGGTGGGGTAGGGAGCGAGGGTGGGGTAGGGGTAGGGAGCGGGGTGGGTGGGTGGGTGTCCCATCTATCGTGTGTTCCTGAAACCCACCCACCCACCCACCTACCTACCCACCCACCTACCCTGCAGCCAGGGATCCACCGCATCCCGAATCCCAACCCGCCACCTCCCTCCGCCGCCTGTCCCCACTCCCACCCCCCGCCCTACATACACCCCCTACCCCCCAACCCTCCTATTCCCGCCCCCCCATCCACTTCACCTACCCCCTCCCCACCCTCCACCCACCCACCTGGCACTCCGCATAGCAGCGGTTGGGGTACTGGAAGCCGCTCTCCACATCACACAGCGGCTGCCACACCCGCCCGCAGGAGCACCCCGCGCGCCACGTCACTCGGCCAGCCGCCGATACTGCTGACACTGCTGACACTGCTGCCACCGCCGCCCCACCACCACCACCACCATCACCACTAGCGCCAGCAGAAGGTGGGGCGGATGCCGCCGTTCCCGTTCCCGTTCCCGTTCCCGCTGCCGTCTCCGAGGACCCTGATGGCAGGGAGCCTCCTCCTCCTCCTCCTCCTCCTGCTGCCGCTGCTGCTGCCTGCGTCCCCGCAGCCGCCCCCTGCTGCGGTCCTAGGCTGCGTGGCAGCAGCGGGGCACACCCTCCAGCAGCAGTGCTGCTGCCTGCTGGACAGCGGGCGAGGGCAGCAGCAGCTGCTGCAGCACCCGCACCTCCTCCGCTGCTGACCAGCCTAGCGCCTTCACCGGCCCCAGCAGATCCACCGCCCCCCGCACCCCCCGCAGCAGCACCCCCCGTTGTGGGTGTGGCGGTGGTGGTCCAGGGGGTGACATCTGAGAAGGACCACAGCTCCCCCGGCAACAGCCCGGCACTGCAGGAGGAGGCGGAGGCGGGGTAGGCAGCAGCAGCAGTAGCTGCTGCAGCAGCGGAGGTACGGCGGACGCCGGCAGGGCCCCACTGCTGCTGCTGCTGCTGCAGGGAGGGTGTTGCTGCTGCAGGGAGGGTGTTGCTGTATGGGGGAAAGCTGCTGCCCCCGGAGGTGAAGGAGGGGGTCGGGAGGGAAGGCAGGCAGGCGCGAACAATGGTCGTGTTGAGGGGGCAGCCCGCAAGTAGGGTGGCTAGCTGGGCAAGTGCTGCACGTGCTGGTGATGGGGGTGGTGGTGGAGGGGAGGAGGAAGATGAGGGTGGCGAAGTGGAGGATGGGGGTGGTGACAGGGATACCACGGGGAGTGCTAGTTGTACGGCAAGTGTCCGGGTGCAGGCGTACAGCATGTCTAGTACGGCATCCTCCAAAGCCGGCTTCCCAGGCTGCTGCTGCTGCTCTTGCTGGCTGCTACTGGTGTTGCTACTGGTGTTGCCGCTGTTGTCGTAAGGCGCAGGTCTGCTGCCCCCGCACTGTGCCGCAGCTGGCAGAACCGCCTGCACTAGCGCACACACCCAGGCGCCGCATTCCACGTCTGTGCTGCTGCTGCTGCTGCTGCTGTCGTATTCCTCAATACCCGTGCTGCTGGTACTGCTGTTGGTGCTGCTGGTGCTGTCGTATTCCTCAATACCCGTGCTGCTGGTACTGCTGTTGGTGCTGCTGGTGCTGTCGTATTCCTCAATACCCGTGCTGCTGGTACTGCTGCTGGTGCTGCTGGTGCTGCTGGTGCTGTTTGCCGTTGTGTTCCTGCTGTTCCTGCTGTTCCTGCTGCTGCTACTGCTCCCTGCACTGCCGCCTGCACGCCCACCAACGCCCTCTGCCCCTCTCCGCATGAGATTCTCCACCGCTGACGAGATTGCTGCTTGCCTGCGCCAAGCTTCTGCAAGTCAACAACAACAACAACAACAAGTGTGTTTGAGGAAACCAACATGTCAGCTAGCACAGGTGGATTGCGGTCTCGGGCACGCCAGGTTAGAAGGACTTGTACTATGTGCACGTGCGCTACCCGTCCCCCGTGTGGACAAGGGCCCTTACGATGACATACACAGACCTGCGGGGGGTGGGGCATGCAGCTGTGCGTTGGTGGGTATGTACCAGCAGTAGCAAGTGCCCCCGCAAGCTTCCAACGCCATCCGACGTGGAGTCCTAACAGACCCGACCGCACGCACCCTGGCGGGCTGCCAGCTGCTGCAGCGAGATGAGGTTCAACAGACCCACGGGACACTCCGTCCCGCCTCCGCCGTCAGCGCCGCCGCCTGCTCCACCGTAGAAGCCACCATTGCTCCTGCTCCTGCTGCCGATGTCTTGGGCTCCGAATGTGGCACGGAGCGTTGCGCGGGTGGTGCACTTTGCCGCGGGCATGGCAGTAGGTGTGCAGGTGAAGGGCCTCGGTTGAAGGATCAGCAAAACAAGGAAGAAAACCGCCTTGGGAAAAGTGGTCCCTTTATACTTGTAGCTGCGGGAAGGACCCAACCTCGATCCAGCGCGGGGCAGTTGCAGGCATTGCTTGGCAGAGTGGCTCCTTCGCGCCTTGTCGTAGCCGAACTGTGGTTTTGATAATATGTTGTTGTCAAAAGCGCTGTTAGACACCGAGGAACCAGCTCGCATGACGGCAGCATGGGACACCTTGCGACTGGGTTCTCATCGCAGATGCACAGGATGGAAAGTCACAAGCGTTCGCAAACGCATGCAGCGCCTGAACTGGCGTTTCATGAAGGCATTCACGTCGCTGGTCCTGAACGGGCTATCGGCTCGTATGGGAGAATGGGACACGTCCAAGAAAAAGAGTACGCTCTTGCTCTTCAACGCAATAGTTACTTGGACACAATTTGCACTGTAGGTGCAAAAAGATGAACTGGACGCTTTGGTTCAGGATTCGCATGTCAACTACCGGTACCAACTGCTAAACTGAAGAACAGCACGAGGTGGGCCATAGGTGGTCTCTAACCTGATAGGGCAATCTTACAACTAAGGGATGTAACTCCGCATCTGGTGCAAAGTTGGTGCCAAAAAACCAGCATGCGAAAGAAGCAGTTAGGTCCGTACAATCGATTACATGCACGTCTTCCTGTGAACTTGTCGCCCTCAGTTCACATCATTACACATTAGCTCTTCGGACGTCGGGATGTGCCCCTGCAGAGCCATTTCCTTCTGATGTCAGTTAGGACATGAACCGTCGCATATTGGAATTTGATGTTCTGTTGCTGAAGTCCTTATCGTTGTGATAAATGTCATCGCTCGATAGGATTGGAGCTTAAGGGATGGCTTCAGGACAACCAGCGGATGCACGCGCTGGAACGGAGCCCAAAAGCAGCTCTCAGGATGACGTGCGCCTAATTCTTAATCATGCTCGGATAGAAATACGATGCATACGAGAGCTTGTGCCGGAGGCTAGAGTTCATAAGCGGCTGTGCTTGGACATCCTGGATGCCAGCCATGTTTGCCTACGCCATCTTGAACAAGTAAGTTCAACTAATTTTCTGATATCAAATGAAGTTACTATCCATATAGGTATGATCATCAACTGCAACGGGCTATCTTTGCGGCATGGTTGGGATGATGACCCGCGAGAAAGAAGGCCAGCATGTTTGTACTGACATAGCAGTCCGATGGCTATCAATGGTGTGGTTATAGCCTATGTCTCCTCGCCCCGGGTCCCAGAACATGTCCTTTTCCCACATCAAACTATGCGCCAACGCTTCTCCCTTTCCCTTTCCTGCCCCAAACAAATGACGCCTAAGAACACAGCTTATCCTTGCAAACAACTTCTGCCTTTCCTGCCCAACACCCAGTCCTTGGCGCTTTCGACCTTGGCGGTCAACGGTCCGGTCAACGCTGCTGACCCAGATCAGCTTCAGCACCGACAGCTGCTCCCCGCGGCCGCAGCTCCCGAGCATCTGCTGCTGCCCGCCGCCGCCAAGCTTCTGATGGCCGCCCGGACTGCCCGCTACCGAGTTGGCAAACTGGGTCGGCCTGTGGGGATGCGCAGGTAGGAACGAGGATCATACATGCTGCTTTGCGACCTCTACCGGCACATGCAATCAGTTTCTTCACTCTGTACAGGTATAAGACCTCCTAGATCTCCCCCAGCCTTTTGAAATGAGCCCCGACCATATCATGCCCTGACCTGCCTCACTCCCCCCTGCCAGGCTGTTGGCTTGGGCCCGGCGTCGCAACCACTCCCAGCAGCTGGAGGCCAGCCGCAGCGAGCTGGCTGCAGCACTCGAATATGCGGACGCAGCTGCCGCCGCTCTAGCTGCTGCTGCTGCTGCCACTGCTGCAGCATCCCTGACCGCTGCGATGTCATCATCGGCGCAATCCGCGACTACCACTCCCAGTGAATCACCCCAAGCGCAATCTCCCCAAGCGCAGCAGACAGGATCAGATGGGAATAGTTCTGCCACTTCTGCTGCTGCTGCTGCTGCTGCTGCTGCTGCTGCTGCAGGTGCTGCCAGCTGCGCCACCACCCCCACCGCGGCCGGCTGCGTCGATGTCGCTGCGCCGCACCCCGCAGCAGCTGCTCTCTTCCTGCCAAGTGCCTCACACCACACCCCTTCCTTAACCCCAACAGCGGGAGGAATCAGCCTGGTATCTGCCTGCGGCGGCAGCGGAGGCGGAGGCGGCTGGGAGGTGGCTGCCGCCAGCGGCCCCGCAGCCCTCGCCGCACTGGGCTTCCCACCGGGCACCCTGCGGCACCGGGGGGAGGCTGCTGGGGACGCCACCAGCAGCAGCAGCAGGAGGAGGCGGAGGAGGCTGAGCATCTCCTACCCCGCTGCTTCCTTCTCCTGCATTCCCTCCTCCTCCTTAGCCTCCGCTTCGTCTTCCAGTTCGGTGGCGGCGGTGCGGTTCGTACCGGCTGCTGCTGCGGGGCTGGGAGGCGGAAGAGGTGGAGGAGGCTGGGAGGCAGGAGGTGGAGGAGGCGAGCCGCCGGCTGTGCTGTTGCTTGTACAGGTGGGTGGGTTGGGTGGGTGGTTAGTTGCGCGAGTGTGTTGAGGGGTCTTGTCGGGCATGGATGGAGTGGCGGGTGCGGGCGCGCGGGTACTGCTGCTGCGCGGGTACTTTACCATGCTGCTGTGTGTGTCCCATGCTGCTCGGCTCGCTGGCTTCCGCTACCAGCTAGCGCCGCTGCCGACCTACCGGGGTGGTAGCTGTGGCTCCTGCATTCCTGGCTTTGGATAGATGGTGTGAAGCTCCCCTAACGCTCTAAGCAGGTGGGGTTTCATGGCCTGCCTTGCCTTCAGCCTTCCGCCAACCACACCCATTATCATATCCTCACCCCTCCACCCGCTTCCCGCCGCTTCACCAATACCACCACCTCCTCCCTTCCCCCCCACCCTGCCGCAACAGCTCACCAGCGGCGTGCTAGAGGTGTACAGCCCCAGCGCCCGCGGCTTCAGCAGCCTCACGCGTCTGAGCAGCCCCCTCACCCGCATGCAACCAGCAGGGGCCGCAGGGGCGGGCAAGACAGCAGGAGCAGCAGCAACAAGGGAGGCGGGGCTGACGGCTACGGCTGTGGAGTGGCCTGGCGTTACGGCGGCGGCTGGGGCGGGTTTGGGGTTGGGAGCGGGGTGGGGTTGTGGGTTGGATGCGGGAGCGGGAGCGGGCGGCGCGCTGTGGTGTGGCTTCTCGGATGGGTCGGTGGCGCTGGCGGGGGCTGCTGCTGGGGAGAGCAAGGTAAGGAGGAGGGGTGGAGAGGGAGGGAGGGGAGGGGAGGAGAGGAGAGGAGTAGGGCTGGAGTCGGCTGGCATGGGCATGGCTAGCTGGAGAACCGGAGGTTTGGTGTCACTGGCGATTTGGGTCAGGAGAGTTGGGTTGGAATAAGGCATAAGGTGCAGCGAGGAAGGTTTCCTCGTTTAGCGGTGAAATGCACGGCAGGAAGGGGCAGTTACCACATCACCGCATGCCGTACCATCCCCTCAAGAGCTCGCCCTAGGTGCCCCGCCGCGCACGGCTTACCCCTGGCATACGCCATCTTACCTGCCATCTACGACCTTTCTGTGACCTCTTTCCCCGACCCTATACTACCTCAGGCTTCTTCTCCAGCAGGTGATGCAGCCCCTCTAGCCGCCAGTGCTGCTGCATGCGGTGCTGCGTGCGGCGGGGTGCAGTGGCGGGTGTGCAGCGGGGCAGCCATCGCCTGCGTCCATGCGGCCCCGGGGCGGCTGTGGCTGGGGGACGAGGCGGGACACGTCAGCTGCTGGCAGCGGCAGCCGGCGCGAGTGGTGAGGGGGTGGGCGGGTGGGGTGATGGGTGGGGTGATGGCCAGGGGTGTCCCCCTGCTGGGTGATGAAGCCTGGTGAGATCCGGTTGAGATCTGTCAGTTGGCCACACGTGGATGCCTGGCCACACGCGGCTGAGTGAAGCCCCAACCACATGTGATGGTGGTGCTGCATGCAGCAACCATGCATGCTCACGGCGTAAATGCCCTAGTTTGTCATCATCATCAACCCCTTTCCTTCCCCGCATGTCGTTGCATGTAGGCGCGCGTTGTCAACCCCAGAGGTGGCCTTCGGCCCCTGGGAGCGGTGACCTCCATCTGGGCCCTGCCGACCCATGGGTCACGTCCATCGCAACCACCAACCGCCACCGCCACTATCGCGGCGGCGGCCGCTGACGCCTCCGGATGGCTCCTGCTTGTCGACGGAGACCAATTCGTGGTTACAGACGCTTACGATTGCAGCACCCAATTCGGTGCAGTCACATGCATTGCTGACGTACCCTGGGCGACAGGGGGGAGCCGAGCAGTAACGCCAACGTCGTTGCCATGTCCCATGGGTCACTCCGCTCCACCTCCGCCTTCTTCGCCTTCGCTCTCCACTGCGCCCTCCTCTCCGCAACATGCAGCTGGCGGCGTGGATGCACACATTCACGTAGCCTCCGCAGCCCCACCGCTGTCACCCCTCTCGCGTCCCTCCGCAGCCGCTACCTCATCCGGGTTGACAGCAAAGCCGCCAGCAGGAATAGCGGAGGCAGGAGCAACAACGACTTGCCCAACGGCCGCTGTTGCCACGTCTGCCGCCGGTTTTCCTGGCGGTGGAGGCAGCAGTAGCAGGGACGGTTTAAGAGGCGGCGGTTGGTGTGGTGCGGGCGGAAATGCAGGCGCAGGCGGCTGGCGGCTGATCACAGGGCACGCAAGCGGGTTGCTGGTGGTGTGGGAGGTGGTGGGCGGCAGGCTGCGACCCATGGGTCTGTTGGGGGAGCAGCCCTCCTCACCGGTCAGGTAGGGCCTGGGAGGCAGGAGTACAGGGGGCTCGGGGTGGAGGTATCTTGGTCTCTCGTTTCCTTGTCTCACACCGCCAACAAAACGCAGTGAGTTAGCCTTTCCCAACGCACTCGCACCCCCGCCTTGACCCCCCTCACCCCCCTCTCTCCTCCTCCCTCCCCCTGCAGCTGCCTGTGTGTGCTGCCCGACCTGCGCATGCTGGTAGCCGGCCACCGGGGGGGGCTGCTGCGGCTGTGGCCGCTGCCCGCCCCCCGCATGCAGCTGCTGCGCCTGCCCGCGTCCGCCGCCACCCCGGTCTGGCGGCTGCGGAGCGGGGTGGTGCGGGCGCACCGGGGCGGGGGGCTGGTGGGCATGGACAGGTGCGGGAGACGGAGGGGGGGGGCAGGGAGGGAGGGGGGAGGGAGGGAGAGGGAGGGAGGGCGGGCGTAAGGGGAATCTTGAGGCCTGGGCTTGTTAGCTGCAAGTTGCGAGCGTGTCCATATGGATGATCAGCTCCATGGTGGTTACACACTTGCGCGTGTGTGGTGTGGGATCTGCTCGGGAGCACGCTGGCGCACGTTTGGAGGGAGCTTGGCTGTCTGGCGTGTGGTTGTTGGTGCTGCACACGGATGGGTCCCCCCCCTTCCTCCATCCGCCTTCACGTCTCCAACCCCTACCTTGCGCCTCCTCATACCTGTACACTGCTCCTGATCCGGTTCATTGCCAGCTACCCTATACTTACGGTCCCCTCCTCCGCCTCCTCCTTGCACCTAGTTTGCCATTACCATTCCACACATCGGGTCTTTTTCCCCTCTTCCTCCTCCTCCTCCTCCTGCTCCTCCCCCCCCCCCCAGGTGCGGCATACGGCTGGTCACCTGCAGCCGGGCGGGCGGAGTCAAGGTGTGGGACCTGCTGCAGCTGAGGGCCGCAGCCATGAGCCAGGGAGCCATCTTCGAGCCCCTCATACGCCCCAACGCCTTCCCCCTCCCCATCACCGCCACCGCCACCTCCGGCAACCCCAACCCACCCGCGCCTGCCGCCATCACCGCCTTGGCTGCAGCAGCGGGCTACAGAGCTGCCAGTGCTGCCGTACCCTTGACCTACCTGCCGCCTGCTGCTGCTGCGCACCTTCCTGCGACTCACCTGGCCGCCGCTGCCACCTCGCAGCCGCAGCAGCAGCAGCAGCTCCTGCAAGAGCACCAACAAGTGGAGCAGCAGCACCACCAACAGCAACTGCAACAGCAGCAGCAGCAGCAGCAGCCGGTACCACAACACTGGTCTTCGCCCGCTGCCCCACCTTCCATCGTCCCCGTGGGGCGCTCCCTCGCTGCCATCACTAGTGCGCATGGCCCCCTCCCTCCTCCCCCTCCTCTCCCTCCTCTGCCTCCCCTTGCTGTGCCGCTACCACTTCACCAGGAGCTGCAGCAGCAGCAGCAGCAGCAGCTACAACAGCAGCTACAACAGCAGCAACAACAGCAGCAACAGCAGCAGCGGCAACCTCACATGCAGCACCAGCAACACCACCACCACCAGCACCACCCATGGGGCTCCCCCGACTTCCGAACCCCCGCACATGCTGCTGCCACAGCCCCCACCTTCGCAACAACAGCCCCGCTACAGACCACCATCAGCGCTATCAGCGCTGCGGCCGCTGCCTCAGCAGCCCAGCAGGCAGCCTTCCTGCCGTACTCGCCCGCCTCCTCCTCCTCTGCCCTCTGGATGGGAGCCGGCGGCGGCGGCGGAGGAGGCGGCGGCGGTAGCAACAGCCTAGGCGGCGGAGGCGGCAGTCTTGGCAGCGGCGGGAGTCAGGCAGGCGGCAGCAGCCTGGGTGGCGGCCAGCTGTCGGCCGGGGTTTCAAATCTGACGACGTTTGAAATGTCATCGACATCGGTGGCGGCGGCGGCGGCGGCAGCAGCCGCCCAGGCCGCCGCTGCCGCGGCTTACCGCATGAGCTTTAATGGCAGCGGCGGCGGCGGCAGTGAAAGGAGCGCTAGCGGCGGTGGTGGCGGCGGGGTGTTCCGCAGTGGTAGCGGCGGCGGCGTCGGCGGAAGCAGTCGCAACGGCAGCGGAGGTGGCTGCAGTAGTCGTAGTGGCGGCGGCAGCGCCGGGGGAGACTTGTACGGCAGGGGGATGCCGTGTATGCCTCAGGGCACCGTAGGGATGCAGACGCCGTCGCCAGCGCCGCTGTTCCTTACCGCTCAGTCACCGCCACCGGGTGGAGGTATGCAAGGCGTGGCGTCGTCAGTGACGGTGTCCAATGCAGGCGGCGGCCCTCCCAGCATGCGGTCCCTGGTTCCGCCGCTGGGCCTCTTGAGCGCTGGCGGCGGAGGCGTCATGGGTGCTCGTACACTGGATTCCGTACCTGAGGAAGAGGTTGCGGCGTACGGTGGCGGCGGCATCGGCGCTGACGCTGCTGGCGGCGGCGGCGGTGAAAGCGACCTCCGCGACGGCGGCGGAGGTCGGATTGTTTCCTGGCCAGGTGACGGCGGTGGCAGTGGCGGCAGTAATGGTTCCGATGGCAGTGAAGGCAGCGGTACCGGTGGCGGCGAGGCGGGGTGCGGCGGGGTGCTGGGGGGTAGCGGTGGGGGTCGTGGCGGCTGCGAGGAGGCGGAGGCGGAGGAGGAGGCAGAGGGCACCCCCCTTCTGGAGCTCCGGAACCAGTTCATCAAGGAGTGAGTGCAGGGGCGGGAGGAGGGGAGGGGGCGGGAAGGGAAGGGAAAGGGAAGAGAGGAGCGTGTGAGCTTTAGGGTTTCGCGTGCTCCCGCCAGTGCCGTACACATGCTGCCCGGCCTCCTCTCCTTGTGTGCAATGCATGCTGCTCCTGTACTTGCCCGCTGTGCCCTTTGTGTTTCACCAGCGTTCCCCTCCTCCCTTCACACCTCCTCCCTCCTTTCACACCTCCTCCCTCCTATTCTCCTTCCTCCTCCGCCCCTCCCTCTCCCTCCCTGCAGCTCCGACATCCAGCTGCTGGAGGAGGTGGGCAACGGCGCCGAGGGGCGCGTGTGGCGCGGCAGGTGGCACCACATAAGCGTGGCGGTCAAGGAAATGAGGGTGCCGCAGGCGGCGGCGGTGATGACCCATGGGTCACTCGCCGCCCGCCATGACCGCATCTCCACGGCGGCTCGGGAGCTAGGGAGGGGGCGGGGTGGAAGGAGCGGTGCAGGAGGGGCTTCTGCTGCTGGTGGTGGGGTGGCGCCCAGCCCTGACGTGCAGGTGGGTGCGGGGGGGGCCGTGTGGGTTTGGAGGCCCGGGTGGAGGTTGGGGTTACAGTACTAGCGTCATGTAGGGGAGAGTACGATGTGTCAGGATGAGGGTTTGGAACGCCGTATCTGAAACACGCGGCCTCAACGACCCGCCGATACCTCCATCATCCCCTCCGCCGCATTCCATTCGTGGTTTCCTAAGGTTCGGTCTAATGTGAGCCTCCCTCCCCCCCCTCCCCCCCCCTGCAGGCCCTCATCCAGGAGGTGTCGGCGCTGGTGGACTTGTCGCAGCATCCCAACATAGTGCGGTTCATCGGGCTGTGCCTGGAGCCGCCGCGGCTGGTCACCGAGTACTACCCGAGGGGCGGACTGTACGACATCATACGCAGGGCGAGGTAGGGGGAGGGGGGGAGAGGAAGGGGGGGGGAGAGGAAGGGGGGGAGAGGAAGGGGGGGGAGAGGAAGGGCGGGGGAGAGGAAGGGGGGGAGAGGAAGGGGGGGGAGAGGAAGGGGGGGGAGAGGAAGGCGGGGGGAGAGGAAGGGCGGGGGAGAGGAAGGGGGGGAGAGGAAGGGGGGGAGAGGAAGGGGGGGGAGAGGAAGGGGGGGGAGAGGAAGGGGGGGGAGAGGAAGGGCGGGGGAGAGGAAGGGGGGGAGAGGAAGGGGGGGAGAGGAAGGGGGGGGGAGGGGAAGGGGGGGGAGAGGAAGGGGGGGGGAGAGGAAGGGCGGGGGAGAGGAAGGGGGGGAGAGGAAGGGGGGGGAGAGGAAGGGGGGGGGGAGAGGAAGGGGGGGGGGAGAGGAAGGGGGGGGGAGAGGAAGGGGGGGGAGAGGAAGGGCGGGGAAGAGGAAGGGGGAAAAGTAAAAGGGGTGAAGCACTATAGCCCATGTCCCACGGCCTGACTAGTACAGCGCGCGGGCGTAAGGAAAGGATTGAAGCGCCGAGAGGTGAACCCCGCTTCGCCACGAGCACCCCTCGGCAGCCGTACATCCTTAAGCAAGCAGCTCCTTACAGTACCTCCCCCAACCCCCCTCCCTTTCCGCCTCCTCTTTCCCTCCCCACTCCCCCTCTACCCCCCAGGGAGGACAGCGAGGCAGGCGCCCGGGCTCAGCTGGAGTGGGGGCAGCGGCTGGCCATGGCGCATGACATCGCTGCGGGGATGGCGTTCCTGCATGACAGGTGGGGGGGGAGGGGGAGGTGTACGACAGGGATGGCGTTCCTGCATGACAGGTGGGGGGGGAGGGGGGTTTACACCTCATGGTGGGGTAGGGGTGGAAAAGGCGGGCCCCGGAGAGCGGTGCTGCAGGGACGTTCAGTCGGTAGTCGGTGGCGCGATAGGTAAACACCCCAGTGTGTTATGTTGGCCTGTGCGGTAACCCGCCTCTCGCACCCCCCCTCCCCCTCCCAACCCGTCCCCCCCCTCAGGCAGTACGTGCACGGCGACCTGCGCTCCCCCAATGTGTTCGTGTGCCAGGAGGGGCGGGCCAAGGTCGGGGACTTTGGGTTCGCACAGCTGCTGGGTGAGGGGGGGGGGGAAAGAAATTCCAAAGTAGGGAGGGGGGTAGCGAGAGGGGGGGGTAATGAGGGGGGAGAGAGGGGGGTAGCGAGAAGCATGTGTATGCAGGGCTGTGATGTGTGGATTCTGGAAGGTGGTGAAGGGCGGGTTCCAATCCTTCACAAGGGTGTTTCAGCTGCCGTACCGCACCAAGTGGTACATTGCTACACGGGCTGTCTCAGCCACTCTCATACGCCTACTGTACCACCTTCAATAGAGCGTGGTGTGGTACGCTTGATACCCGCCTCGCGGCGCACATGCCCTCCGGAGCACGCACTCCGAAACCCTGGCCGAACACGCCGCAACCCACCCACACCCGCACGGTGCCCTTCCCCTTCCACTTCCCCTGCCTCTCCCCTGTCCCCTCTTCACCATGGCTCTCCCCCTACCCTCCTCCCCTCTTTCCTTCCTGCTCCCCTCGCCGCTGCAGGCTGCCCCGAAGCCGCCGGCTGCCTGAATATACCCGGCCACCCCTTACCCGCTGCTGCTGCTGCCTCGCCCTCTCCTGCTGCCCCCGCCCCCACTGCTGCGGTCACCCCCTCCGCCTGCCGCGTGTCCAACCCGCGGTGGCTGGCGCCCGAGGTGATCCTCACGCAGCGCAGCAGCAGGCAGGGAGACGTGTTCAGGTGGGGGAGAGCAGGAGGGGGGGAGGGGGGTGGAGAGTACTAGGGATGGACTGCAAAGTACTGTACCTGGCTGTTCAACACATGGCACCCTTTCCACCGCGCACCTATCGGCACTCGTATCCCAACGGTATAGTAGGAAACCCCTACCCTGCCCACCCCTTGTAATACGGCACCCACTACCGGTGCCCTCCTCGTCCTGTATCGCAGTTTCGGTATCATCATGTACGAGCTACTCACGTGGCGGGTGCCGTACGAGGGGTACGACGGACTGCAGGTACGTGCCGTACATGCATGGCCTCTGATGTACTGCAACGTGGACTTGCCTTTGCTGCAGCGAGAGCCGTGTTGTAGCCATGTCGTCCTCTGCCACCCTCCTCCACTCCTCCTCGTCCCTCCCCCGTCCACCTCCCCTGCCTCTCCCCCCCCTCGCCAGGTTGTGGTGCAGCACACCACCTGGGCCCAACACCAGCACCAACAGCACTTCTTACATATGCAAATGCAGCAGATGCAGCTGACGGGAGGTGTCGCAGCAGGGGTGGCAGCAGCAGCGGGGTTGGCTTGCGAGCCCTTCCGGCCCCAGCTGCCCCCGGATGAGGAGCTGCCGCAGGTGAGAGGGGCTTGGGGGTTTTGGGGGTTTTGGGGGTTTTGGGGGTTTTGGGGGTTTTGGGGGTTTTTGGGGTGGGGCATGGGGTGGGGGCCGAGGGGGGTTGGGTGAGGTTAGCGAGGGCGAGGGTCCATGTGACCCCTGCCGTGCCGTGCCGTGCCGTGCCCTGCCCTGGTTGGACACACGTGCTGGTAGCCAGCGGCTGGCAGTGCACGCCTTGCCCCCTGCTGCCCTCCTGCCTCCCTCCCATCCATCCCACCGCACCACCACCACCCCTCGCCGCCCCTTCACCCCCTAGGTTCCCCCCGGCGGCAGTGACAGTCTGGCCGCCTTCAAGCAGCTCATGGCGGAGTGCTGGGCGCAAAACCCCGAGGACAGGTAGGCTGGGGGGGGGAACTGTGGGTTTGGTTACCTCTTGGCAAGGGGCAACACAGGTATCCGTGACACCGCCGTATCACTAATCCCTGTTCCCCCCTCCTGCCTGCCCCTTCCCGCCCCCCCCCGCAGGCCCTCCTTCGCCCAGGTGGCGGGGCGGCTGCGCTCGCTGCTGCAGTGGGAGGCGGCGCTGGCGCACGTGCATGAAAGCATGTCGGCGCTGCTGGCAACATGCGGAGGGGGAGGAGGAGGAGGAGGAGGAGGGGAAGAAGGTGAGGGGGACTGCGGATCTATAGGATGGGATGAGAGCTAACAGCTAAGCATCAATACGGAACCCCATGGTTGTGGCATATGGCCGCATATCCCATTTCGTGTCCGCAGCAATTAACCCTACCCTCCCTCCCTTGCGATTCTACAGACGGTCACGAAGACAGCGCGGCCGGTTCCCCTAGAGCCGCCGACCAGCCCCTCTCCCTCGCCGTCTCGCACTCCAACGACCTGCCGGCTTTCCTCTCGCCGGCGGCAGCGGCCGCTGCCGCTGCGGCGGCGGCGGAGGCAGCGACTCCCCAAATGTACGGCAGATGTGCGGCCCGTGACGGGGCCCCGGCGGAGGTGGCGGCAGGTCTGGCGTCCCGGGGCAGCTCACTGCTGCAGGGCCCGGAGGCGTCGCTGTCGCCCTCCGCCTCCGACGGTACGACAGAGGTGACGGCGGCGGTTGGCGCCGCCGCCAGGACACAGGTGGCGACGGCGGCAGCGGCGGAGGCGGCGAACAGCGCTACGGCGGATAGCGTCACGCTGTGCACCGGGGCCGCGGAGGCGTCACCTGTCTTTCTGACGCCACTGACAGGAGGCCGGATCCCGCCTCCCTACCCTGCGTCGCTCTCATCGGCCAGCCTGTGCCAAACCTTGCAAAACAGGGGTTGCGGGACAGCAGGCAGCGGAGGCGGCGGAGGCGGAGGCGGAGGCAGCTCCATAGCATCCTACTTCCAAACGCCCGCTTCCGGATACGCGCCGACGCCGGTGTCGTACAAAACGCCCGCCTCCGCCTCGTCGTCACTGACGCTGACGTCAGCCGCCGCTGCGGGCCACGGCGGCGGCGCCGCCGACACTCCCTTGGTGGACCTTCTCATCGCTGACGCCTCCGGCATCCAGCGCATCTCCGGTATTCCCCTTACCAGCAGTCGCGGCAGCGTCGCCGCCAGTGGCACCAACGCCGGCGCTCTAAGTGCCGCCAGCAGCGGCGGCGGCGGCGGCGGCGGCGCTGACGCTGCAGGTGGGCCTTATGAGCTGCATGCCACCGCTTCTGGGGGTAAGGCGGTGGCGGCGACTGCAGGCCTGACGGCGGCGGCGGAGGCGGCGGCGGAGGAGGTGCTGGCGGCGGTGGTGGGTCGGCGAACACGACGTACGACAGCGCTGCAGATGGACACTGGTCAGGTGCTCTTGTTGCTCACGGAGGACGAGGAGGACGGGGGTGGCGGGGATGCAGGGCAACGAGAGCAGGAGGAGACAGCTGTGGCTGCGGCGTCCAGGCTGCAGGGCGACGTGGGCAGTGGTGCAGCTACAGCAGCGGGAGCAGCAGCGGCGGGAGCAGGCTGGAGCGACAGCGCCTGCTCCCTCACCCAGGCGGCGGCAGCGGCAGCGGTGCAGTGCGGCGGTGCGGTGGTGGGTGAGGTGCCGCACCTGCTGCAGCACCTGCTGCTCGCCTCGCAACATCAACACCAGCTGCAGCAGCAGCAGCAGGAGCCGGATGCGGAGGATACGGAGGCAACGTCAGCAGCAGCAGTGACCGGCTCGCTGCCGCTGCCCGCTCTCCCGCAGCACTCCAGCTGGACGCCTTCTCCGCCCCTCTCCGGCTCAGCGGCCCCCTCCTCGGCCGCCTCCGCCTCCGCCGCCGCCGCCAGGCCCCCAGGCTCCAACCCCAGCCCCAGCCTCAACCTGAGTCCCGGCACCGCCTCGCCATTCGGCTTCACGCGGGGCAGGATGTTTGCAGCCGCTGCCGCAGGCAGCGGCGGCGGCGGAGAAAGCAGCACCGCCGCCGCCGCCGGAGGCGGCGGCGGTAGCGCCGGCGGCGCCGGCGGCAGCGGCAGCGTGGGTCGGCGCTCCTCCAGCAGTGCCGGCAGCGGAGTTGTGGTGGCGCTGGCCTCCCTGCGCAGCAGCCTGGGCCCCGGCAGCGGCAGTACGGCGTCGCTGGGCAAGGGCACGCTGAGCCTGAAGGCCATGTCCTCCCTGGCTGCGGCCATCAGGGTGCTGCCGGAGGAGGTGGCGAGCTCGCTCCTGGCGGAGGCGCCGGCGCCGGCTTCAGGCATGATGACGTCACTGGGGTCAGCATCGGTGTCAGTGTTGTCGGTGGGCGGAGGGCCGCAGCAGCAGCAGCAGCAGGGGCAGCAGCAGCAGCAGGGACTGCCGTGGTCGACGTACAGTGGAGGGTACGGCAGTCGTTTAGGGAGCCATGGCTACAGCGGGAGTCATGACAGCGGCGGCGGTGCCGCCAGCTCGACGGCGACCAGTCGGTTGTCGTTGTGCGGCATGGCGACGGCAGCCACAGGGGCGGCGGCGGCGGGATCCGGATCTCATGGAGGCGCCATTGGATCTGGATCCGGGTGCGCGCAGTACGCTCAGTCCCGGAGGAGCAGCGGCGGCGGAGGCGGCAGACGCAGCGGCAGCGGCGGCGGGGCCGTGTCGTACGATGTACGGGATGGAGTGACGATGGCCGCTAGGTGTGTCGTCCCCAGCTTGACACCACGTGCACAGCTGGCCGCCACTACCCCTCAGTTGCGCTGGGCGGCGCATGCAAGTGCCTGGACGTCTAGCAGCCCCCTAGCAGCGGCCCCCGGGGACTGCCGTACAGATGGCGTCGGAGGCGAGGATGGTAGTGACGGCGGCGACGGAGAAGACGGCGGTGCCTCCGTCAGCTTCGCCGCCGCCTCTCCCACCCTGACGTGCGCTACCGGCGCCAGCGGCAGCGCCAGCAGTAGAAGCGTGCGTAGCGGCGGCAGCGGCGGCGCAGAGGGCACCGCAGGCGGCAGGGTGGGAACAACCGCTACAACGGATGCCACACCGACATCCTCTTCGACCGCCGCCGCTGAAGCCGCCGCTGGTGCACGCAGGGGTGCGGCCGTTGCCACTACTGCTGCTGCTCGCTTGGCGGGACACGACACCTCAGCAACATCAACACCTACATCAGCTCCAGCACCCGTCACAGCGCCGCCTCCGGCTGCTTCCAACCCTGCTTTCAACGCCACTTCCGATGCTGTTGCAGCCGCCTGCAGGGAAGGCGGCGCCGAGGAAGCGCCGGCCGTTCTGTTTAGCCCTTGGGCGAATGCGGCTCTGGTGGCGCAAGCAATGGGTGCTTCGGTACGGCAGGAGGAGGAAAGAAAGGACGGCATCAGGCATGGCGAAGCCAAGGCGGGACGTAGCAACCCCCCAGTGGTGCAGCCCCCGCCATGCAAGGGGGCGGCAAGGGCCGCAGCGACTCATGTTGTGGCGAGTGCGGCTATTAACGAAGTGTCGACGGCGGCGGCTGTACCGTCCAACAAGGCTTCCGGTGCCGCCGCTGCTGGCGCTGTTGCTGCTGTTACAGGTAACAAGACAGGGGAGCCTGTGGCGTCGCTGCCGAACCCGTTTTTCAACTTCTTGCCGGCAGAGGCCTTTGAGGGCTTTGCGACCCATGGGTCACCAAAGGATGCGGGGTTCGGCGGCGGACTTGTTAACGTCACCGGTCGCGGCAAGTAGTCTGGTGCGCGTGAGATGGTTGTTGTAGGGTGCGGCGGGCGCAATGGGAGAGCTGCTAGAACACATCATTAGTTGATTTGTACAAAAGTATGGTTATAAGAACAATACCGTGTCATAATTCTCTAGGCAAAGCTCACTGTGGAACGCGTGTACTAAGGGCTGGAGGTGGTTGCAGGTTGGCTTCAAGCAGGATTCTAGCGGCGCAGGGTGGCGTGCGCTGAGGCGACGGGAACCGCAATGTGGATTGATGGAGGTACTCCTATAGCTGGAAACCTCGCGGGGACTGCTTTGGCCCTGGAATCAAAGGCACTGGAACTCCAAAGAGCTCCGGGAGAAGCAGGCAGGCTCGCTTGTTTACCGCTGCATCTTTCGTGCGCGCGTGTGATATTCATGGCGTGTTATATGTTTTGCGCACGAGTGGGGCGGCACACCATTTGCTAGCATTATAGCGTGCATGCGTGCATGCTGGAGTATGTATAAAGACGCGGCGCTTAGATACCAATAGATGCTGCGCGTTTCTATGTTCCTTGTATTATTGACCATTCTGCTCCAGGCGTTTCGCTGCCGACCAGATCGCGGCTTCTGCCTAATGCATAGATAATGTACAGGCTGTGTTATACGTACATGGCTCTTTGTGTAAGAATACAATGTCAAACGCAGCTTCAGCAGGATGAGGGTTGTCAACTGGCCCACATGCATCCTGGCGCTAGGTAGGAGGAGCGGGCAGCCCTCCCACCCAGCGCACACAGGCGGTACGACCCCTCTGCCGCACCGTCGGTTGAAGAAGGAAGGGAGGTTGGAGGGAAACCAAAGGGAAGAGGGAGGAGAAGGGGCTAGGCGGAGAGGGGCGAGAGTGGGTGGGTGGGTGATCCTCCCGACATACAGTTTTAATCCGCGCACATGGGGGCTGCAATTACAGAGTTGGGTGAAGGGGTGCATGCCGAGTATAGTTTAATGTATTGGGGAAGGCAAAAGCCTTGCAAATATTGGCGATATGCGCCTTCGTGAGCCGCACTCGCTGATCTCTTTAGTAAAAGGCGAAAGAGATATGAGAGACGTGGGCGGCTCAGCGCTTGATTGCAGAATGAAGGCCGGCGGAACCCCTTCACCTGACCACGTCGGCAACTAGTCACGCGCACGATGGTGGGTCAACTATTAAGGGGCCTCCGAAATGGTCCGCTATGAGCAAGGGCAACCTCTTTAGGATATCCAACATGCCCATACACAATCCCGTCCCACGCCTTCCAGTTT